CGGAAAAGTCACCCGATGGCTGCTACTGTTACTACTGCTGCTGCTGCTGCTACTACTACTACTACTACGACGACTACTACTACCACCACTACTACTACTACTACTACTACTGCTACTGCTACTACTACTCTATTACTACTACTATGCCTACCACTACTACTACTTCTACTTCTACTACTACTACTACTACTACTACTACTACTACTCCTGCTGCTGCTGCTGCTGCTGCTGCTGCTGCTACTGGGGGCAGGAAGGACAACGACGTGCCCCCAAAAGGTGGTCGATCACGAGAACAATTTTGAGGAGCTGCGCGCCACGTCACCACCCGCCCGTGTCCGTGTCCGGGTCCGGGTCCGGGTCCGGCCGGGTCCGGGTCCGCGGGTGGGTCCGGATCCGGGTCCGGATCCGGGTCCGGGCCCATCCGGGTCGGGGTCCGGTCCGGGTCCGGATCCGGGCCCGGGTCCGGGTCCGGGAGGGTACGGACGACGAGAGACGAGAAAAGTGATATTATGTAGTATCCCCCTTAATATTCCCTACAGTAGTCCCTTATATACTCCCCTACATAAACCCCTTCAAGGAGTTTAGCTTGTGGCTCAAACAGGGCACTAGACCAAGCAACGGAGGGGCGTTGACGAAGCTCTAGGGATGACAGGGTTTAACTCAACAATTTTCCACCCAGAAACTGTATACCTTTGGTTAGTAATAGTGCTAAAAGGGATAATAGTGAACATATGAGGGTCCTCTTATATTCCTGCTATATCACTAGTACAGGGTGGGGAGTCCATCTAATCGAGACTACCGCTTCAACATCCGCTGAACGAACCAATATGCAAAGCAGTTGGGTGGGAGCATGAACTCGGGCTGAAGCTGCCAAGGATCAGACTTGGCCTTAGGGCTTAGGAGGGGTTTAGGGCTTAGGGGCCCCGAGATGGCATGTGGCCTATACTGGTTGAAGACCTCCCAAAGAAAGCCTTCTCACGGGCAGATCACAGAGGTCTAGCGACTGCCAGAGTGTATGGCTGTTGTGGTTGCCAGTTTGGAAACGACCGGGCAAACTAGCGAATGAGGGAAGCTGCATCCGTACTAGGAATTCGCGGGGAAGGATCGATCTACGCCGATATGTTTGGAGTTCAAACCGGACTCTGTTCTCATACCCTTTATGAGGTGATATCAGGTTCTTTGAGGCTATCATGATGATCTTAAAGGAGGGGCCATACCTGCCGGCGCTTCAACGATTTCCGTTGAAGTTGCTTCCACCCATTCCTCCGCCGCCCTTATGCTGATTTATATGGACGTGACGAACTCTACTTGACTTTGAGCAATAGCTACCCTTGCCCAAATGCTTTGACGTGGAAGTTTCAAAAGGGTCGCATGAGGACTACAGGATCTTTAGATAGACCACTGAGGATGGGTTTGCATGTTAACTTGTGGAAGGGTATTATTCTGCACATCCTGAAGTTGGTTGGGATTCAGGGTTCAGGAGGTTTAGAACTTGAGATATCGAGATCATGTTTCAAAGCTGCTGAAGCGGAGAACAGTAAAGTAAAGGCGTAGAGGAATCACCAGTAGTATCGTTCTAGATGCCTTGTACAACAGTTTTATTTAGGTCTCTACAGTAGCCAAAAGTTTCAGCCAGGAACCTTGTAACCCAATATAACCCCTATAAGCCTATATATCCCTTTAAAGTGACCCAGGGTTTCCATTTTTTCCATTATCCCAAAACCCCTTGGACAAACATGGACGGCAGTCTCCGCATTGCCGAACTCTAAATGCTCAGCTTCACCACCCAAAACATTCCAAGGGGGTTTGGGATAATGGAAAAGAAAATGGAAACCCTAGCTCCCTGTAAAGGGCTATATAGGGGTTTTGGGGGGTTTAGGTTGAAAGCCAACTGCAAAAGCAAATCAGAAATAACATGGGAGCCGGGTGGATCATCGGAAAACAAAGGTTTTAGGATCACCTCATTATATGTTAGTTTTGTAGCGAATGAAGAAAGCAATTCTTGAAAGTAGCTTCTGCATAACCCCCAATGACATAGTAGTCTCCATTGCCTCATTCCCTATCAGCAACCCCAAGCCCTCAACACCTAACCCTAAATCCCGAAATCCTAACCAAGCTCCATCCACAAGACACCAAACTGTGCCGCACTGCGCTGAGGCAAGGTTTCGAGGACAGCTTGGAGAAGGTGAACAGGCCTTGCTGTTTTGAAGGATGTAGGGTTGGAGGTTTAGGATCAAGGCCAGGATTTGGGGCTTAGGGGTTTATGTTGCTATGATTGTTGTTCTTATGCCTTCTTTAATTTTGCTAGTAGAGTTATGCTTAGCTTCTATGAAGTCATTTTCATTGTTATTCGTATTGTTATGCTTATTGTTAGCTGTAATTTCATTATTCTGTTGTTTTTTGTCAGTACTTAGGTCATTCTTTTTGTTATTGGTATTATGGCTATATTCATCGTGAACCTTTCTGGTGGTTAGGAGGCAGTTTGGGAACGGATCCTTACAATAGTCCCTATACAACCCGTCAAAAAAGCTGTATGTTATCCCCAATGAACCACAGCTACCAACAGACCAAGGTTTCGGGTTCAGGGCCCCCAAAAGGCGGTTTAGGGCTTTGGGTTTGATAGGCCAATGTGGTGTGCGTTGTCTTTGTGCGCGGAGGATCCCTAAACCCTAAACCCTAAACCCCAAACCCTAAACCCTAAACCCTACACCCTAAATGGGGACTCGGGCTGGTTGGTAGATGCTGGATTCAACTCTCTGAGCCTACGCGACCCTGATTGGCTTCCAACCTAAACCCCTCCAAACCCCCAAACCCCTATATAACCCACTATAACCCCTATAACCCTATATATCCTTTTAAAGTGACCTAGGGTTTAACCCTAAACCCTAAAGATTAATCGCGCTGTCAACCAGACATTGGACCCAAGCTTCGATTTGCAGCCTTGACACCTACAGGGAGAAGAAGGAGAACAACGTGAATCTCAAAGAGAAGACCTACATGAGCACTAGCCATGACACGGTTGTAGGGTTTAGGGTGGTACTATACCCTCAACCTCCGGAAGACCCTAAGGCCCTAAGACCCTTCACCCACCAGCCTCCCATCCCCGAGCCCACCCCAAAGCTTCAAACAAACATCCGCAACCCTAAACTCTAGACCCCTAAACCAAAACCCTAAACCCCTGAACCCTAGACCGTCAACCCCAACACCCTAGAGGCTTGCTCTTGAATCAGGCTGGCCTCGCGAAGGATGCCGAGAGATATGCCACTGCTAGATGCTTCCCCATAGTCTCAGGATTGGGCTGCAGGCCTCACGACGTGGGGTCAAGAGTTAAGGCGCAACCTTATTTGAGCTCCGGGATTTTAACTACAGTCAATTTGTGAGCCCAACATTGAGAAAAAGGGGCTGGTTGCTAAGTGGTAAGAAGTCCGTGATAAAGTGCCCACCTTTAGACTTCGTGACATTCCAAACTTTCCCACCCATAACGCTGAGAAAAGTCGTCCAGAAACTTTTCAAATCCTAGATCCTAAACACTAAGCCCTAGGATGGGGAAGTGTGTGCATAGTTCCGCTGCCCTGCAGCAAAAATGATTTAAGTCGTCGCCCGCCGTCGAGCTTCGTTTGCTCAGATTGCTAGGTCCCCACTGTCCCGCTTTTTCTGGGTTCAGGGTGAAGGGGCTTAGAGTTCATGATCTAAGGTGCATCAAGAAGTGTGCTAGGCCCTATCCAGTTTCTTTGTAGGTGCAGTGGATTTGGGGACTTAGATCGGTTGCACCTAGCCTGCCAGAAGCGTATGCGCCACACAAAAGTCCAGAGCGGCCGCTCGCATGTTGTGTGTACTGCCACGGAGAATATGATGACAGCGATAGATCTTAAATGAAGCGTTCATATTTACTGTGTGTTCTCTTGGAAGCTTGCACATGTGGTCAGACTTCAGTACTCAGGCGGTTCAGCTCCAAACACTGCAGCTCCTTCTCGTCATCGTCATGCTTGGCTGCTGACAGCGTTAGCTGAGGGTACAGAAACATAGGGCATCGAGCACCATCAGCATCAATCGCTAAGAAATTTGGAGCCAGCATTGTGGCTAAATGTGCAGTAATTATGGCCTCCCACCCCAAGCCCTAAACCCAAACATGATCCTAGTAGTGCCTGAAGGCGCCCATCCCAAACAGAGAAGAGCACCACAGCGTAGCCGCCCGAAGCGTCGATCGACAATAACAGCCATGGCAGCACCGCAGCTGAAGCTGATACTACGGCTGATTTGGCAGATTCTGTTTAGGGTTTAGGGTAGGGGCCCTAATATAGATCCCAAATCATCCCAGTATGTAAGAACCCTTGATACAGGAACCTCCAAGAATAGACTCAATCTCCACGAGCATAAAGATGCATATGTACTAGTAGACGATATGCAGGGCCTGAGACATAGTTTGGACATAGCCTACTTGCCTACCAAACCTCCAAACCAAGCTTAGGATCTACCTGGATCACCACTACTGGCGCGCGGAGTGTGCGCGGTTGGCCCTCTTCATGGCCAACGTCCCTTTTGAGGACCGTAAGAACTCGCTGCCATGCAAATGCGTTGGAGGGTGGGTAAGACACTAGCTGGCGCCTTCTTGCTTGGGCAATCTTCGGTATTCTGACATCTAGAACCCAGTCGGAGGTACAGCTCTTTCAAACCGTTACTGATGCTCCCATAGTTGCAGAGTTCATGGAAGTGGAAATGAAGCCTTAGCACGATTGGGTCACAAAGGTTGGCCCAAAACTTTGTTTTGCTGATGCAAGCCCGGTTGCATCATTTTGTAGGGTTGTTCATGGCGCGCAGGGGATATTTTAGTCGGGTTGTGAAGTGCCGAGTGAAGTGCGAGGACCAAAGCATCAAAAGCATCTCACAGTTGTTCCCATCCAGGGTGCTCCAAGCTTCAAATTTCAGTGGGCCATGCTGCCTCGAGCAAAAGCACATAAGAGTCGTGGCCTCTTTACAGTGGTAACTTGCAAAGTAAAGTTCCGCAAAAGCAACCCAGTGGATGGCCCGTCCTTCCTGGAGATTACAGGTAAGTTCCATTGGACAATACTACCGTAAACCCTAAACCACACATGGGGTCCTCAACTGTCCGGTTGATAAGATGAGGATGCCCGTAGGTGGGTTACTGAGGGGATTATATAGGGGACTATTGTAATGGGGGATATTAGGAGCTTAGACCATAGCTCAGACGAGGATGCCCGCATGGGCTATGAGGGGATGTATTCTTCTGGTGCTCTGACTTTCGGCACCTTCCCAGCCCTGGTCGTGGCCGGAAAGGGCGTGCTTAACCAGACGCAGGCCATCGCAAGGTGCTTTGGCTCCCGTTAGTTAAACCGCTTAACCCTAAACCTTTTACTAAAATATTAGGTTTAGGGCCGGGGGCTGCACCCTTTAGGCATGAGTCTACTCCGGAAAAATCGCAGCGTTGTTTTTTGGCTTGCTGAAGAGCTTTTTCTTTTGACCTTGAACCTGATATGATCTATATATAGTCTAAACTCCTCAAAAGGGGCTTATGTAGGGAACTATATAGAGAAGTATTACAGGGGGTTATTCAGGGAGATACTAGGAGTTTAGACTATAGCTCATATCGCAAAACCCAAGCGCCCACATGCATAGAAGCTTCTGTAAAGCAGCTTTTGCACCAAACCCCTTCACCCTCAGCAATTGTACTCAACACTTCCCATTGCATGAATCCCATGCCTGAAGTCCCTTAGGTCATAACCTGTATGAACCCATTCGAAAATGATATCTTCAGAGGTTCCATCCACCATAAATCCTAGCTTCCCGTCATAGTGTCATAACCTATGACCTTCTGACCACAAGACCTAAGCCCAAACCCAAATCCTGAGCCCAAAACCCTGAAACGCAAAGCCCAGAGCCTGGCCCTGAAGTCGTAAACTTACTGGTGCTTAGGAGGGAATGGGGGAATGGATCCCTATAGTAGTCCCTATATAATCCCAAATACTCGTCCTATAATCCCAAAGAAGAATTCCTATAATCCCACAAAGTAGTCCCTATATAATCCCGAATAATCCCTAGAATCCATTCCCCCATTCCCTCCTAAACACCAGAGAGTAATCACAGGTATGTTGGCCTAAACCCTAAACCCTAAACCGCAGGTATGTTGGCCACCTCACGGGTATGTACCCCAGCGACCCGTTCCTGGCGGCCAAGTGCCTCGATGGGCCATCCACAAGTTAAGCGCCTTACGGTTTTCATATATTAGATTATATCATATTATATTATATTATATTATATTATAATATGTTATATTATATTATATGTAGCAAGTTCATATAGTATTTGTAGAATATTATAGTATACTATATTATAGTTTTGGGTTTCGGGTTTAAGGGCATGCCTAAATAAGGCGAAGCTGTTTGCTTAAGACTTTGGCGGGACTCAGCTGCGGTGTGTTGTTGAGCTTGCGGCTGTTAGAAGTAGCGCAGTTCCAAGGAAAAGCATGGGCGCCTAGGGTTTAGGGTTTAGGGTTAAACATCAGGGGGCTTCCGCGCATACACCCTCTGATGACCCAGGTGCGACGAAGCCATTGACGGCCTCACCGACGTCTCGGACCTCATCACCGACACCATGCAGGAGCAAAGTTTGGTGGGCTCTCCAGGGTTTAGGGTTTAGGATTTTTAAGGGTTTCTCAGCTACAGGGATTAGAGTCTCGGACCTAGCGCACCTACAGCTCAAACCCTAAAGTGTAAACAGCAAGAGGAAGGAGCCCCAGTAAACTCACTGGTGTTTAGTAGGGAACAAGGGAATACAGTCCCTGTATGATAAACTCCCGTCTTTCCTGCTCACCCCCAGTAAGAACATGAGCAGTCCTTACCATGCCAGGTTGGAGACAGACTTGGCTTCTTGGGCTTATGCTTGCAGATGGGTAGCTTTCCTGGTTTTCGCCTACCTTCTTCATCAGAAATTCAGGAGTTCCCATGTCAAATCTAGAAAATCATCACTTGTTCAACTAGCTGCACACCTAGCCTCCTACGTTGATGCGCAGAAATCTTTAGACAAGAACCTGTATAGAACATACAGCACTTTCACAGGAGCGGGATCCTAAGCGCAAAATCGCATGGCGAGCTGCACTGGTGGCTCCTGATGGGCGAATGACCATGCAGCTTGGCATACTGAATGGTTGTGGTTGCCGATAAGGAATTTAAAGTTTAGTTGCCTCGATGGGGAGACCTTGTGATGAATTATGATGAGGCGCTTAATGTCATGCGTTGAATTCAAGCACAGCCTTGGGCAGCAAAGCAATCCTAAGAGCTGTAGGGCTTCGGCTTCCGGGTTCGGTTGGAACCTCATACCAATTGATGGTCCGTATTCTCCCAAGAAACGAAGATGGGGAACCTCATGCAGGCGTCCGATAAAAGGAACAGGACTCCGCAGCGGCCCCTCTTGAGGTTCCGTGTCAGCGTATTGCACTCAGGTTGTGGTTACATATGCTAAACATGCGTACATACGTACATACATACATACATACATACATACACATGGTCAGCATAAAACATGCCTGGACTCTAGAAGCCCTATGACAAACTGATGTGCTCATTGTTGGCTATCTTCCATTGAAAAAGGGGCCAGACTCATGGCTTCCTGGGGGTTCCAAGCAAGTCGCAGATTGATTGGAGCCAAACAGGCTGCTGAACGGCATTGAGACACTGCTGAAGCAGAATGGAGCTCACCCAGTGCCATATGCGGCTCAGCGAAGAAGCTATCGTGCCACGCGTTTTTGTCCAGGGCTTGGTGCGACTCGTAGGGCACAGGGTTGTGGGCTTGGCGCTAAGGCTCCTTTGCTTACTGGTTCTAAGTAGGGAATACTGGAGCATGTTATATACGGATCAGAATCCCTGATTCCCTACTAAGACCTTGTAACTTTGAGGTCGAGCTTTTATCAGTTGGATTGGGTCTAGCATTCAGTTCTTCCATGTTGGGTCAGAGTCGTGCCAGAGCTTCTTCAATTCAAAAAGAGCTTCGCGGTGTTGTTCTAGGAGGTTTGTTGACTTGAGAGTGACGCGTTTAATGAGAAATACTGCAATGATCCATCAGACTATGTGTGGCATCCTGCGTGAGCACCTCATAGCTATTTGGAAGTTGTAGATATGCTGCTGGCAGAGGCGAACGCGTTGAGATGCACTGTGGGGGCTGAAATATCACCAGTATGCCTAGATTCCTTGTGTGTGTGCTTCTGGCATAGGATGCCAGAAATAAATCTTAACATGACATTAATGATTTGGAAAGCCACCCTAAACCCTAAACCCGTTTTTCAATGGGCTGTAGGTTGTGCCCCCCAGTAGAGTCTTGGATTTTCAGTCTTGTGCTCTGGAGGCTTTGGGAAGATTGGACTTCAATCATTAGACATAACACGACAGAAGCTGAGTACGCAGTTTAGGGTTTAGCTTTAAGGATTCATGGTCTGGGGCTTAGTTTTCAGGGTTTATGGTTTGGGGAGGCACTGGTCTGCCATGGCTCATTATCACACGCTCCCTCAGCTACAGTCCCATCTCTAACGTGCGAGCACCGCCGCTATTATTGCACTGCGTCAATCTGAAATCATGTGGAGGTATCAGAAATAGCTGAGCAAGGTTGGCTTCTGGATTAGAACTCAATGTGCCTGATCGTGGAGACACGGATTTGGGGGTAATCTCTTGTTTGTTTGTTTGTTTGTTTGTTTGTTTGTTTGTTTGTTTGTTTTGTTTGTCGCTGGGAATCTGAAACCACAACATACCAAAACCACAACTGGAAAAGCTGGATGGGCTAATGTCAGCGGGTTTAGTTTGAAGCATCAAAGATCAGACCCCAATTGAGTATAAGGCTTCTGGCTGATCCGGACTTGACTCAAACTCCCATATTAGGCAATAACTTATCACCCCAGTTCCCATTTGATTTTCCATGTTCTTTTCCAGTTGATTCTCCATCATTAAGGTAGTATCCTTGTACCCTAAACCCTAAGTTGTGGTTTCATGATCTTTTGATATCTTTTGCAAGTAAGTGGTTCCTCACTACTGGGGGTAAAAACTTACATTCTTCTCAGCCCGCATGTCGCACCTTCGCCTCCAGAAGGCCTTTGCAAAAGCCAAATGAGTGACGCCCTTAGGGTTTAGGGTCTGGGGTTGAGGGTTTAACTTCTAGGGTTTAAATTCTAGGGTTTAGGGTCTGGGGTCTGGCCCCAGTTGCCAAAAGTCAAAGCTCTGGCCTTATATGCCATAAAAGGAATGCACCCAAAGTTCCGGTCAAAGATAAGCTGGCCCTCAACAGGTCCCCTAAAAGGGTTACTGGTAGGTTATAGATATCATGAACCTCCAGGTGCCTCTTACTTTTAAGGAACTTTGGTTGAATTACTATAACAGGCAAACCCCATCATTTACGATAAACCGATAATATGATACATTAAATTAAGTTCCTTAACAGCAACCCAGCTTAACAGGTTGCGGGAACTTCCTTGAGCGTGGCGGATCTGGCACTCTGGCGGGCTGTAGGCTGGCTCTCCAGTGGAGTGAGCCTTGGTTTGGGTTTTGGGAGATTTCAATCTCAGGGGCGTTAAAAGGAAGGGTTTTAAGGCTTATGGGCTTGCAGGTTTGGAGAACAGATGCAGCATTTTGGCGGTTCTGTGGTTGACAGGTTGAGGGCTAACGGGCTCAGAGTTCACAGTTTTGGGGTTTCAGGTTTTGGTGTGGGGGTTTAGGCTAACAGCTTTTGGGCCAATTGGTGTAGGGCTTGCTTCAGCTGGAGAGGGAGTGCTCCCAAGTCTGACATGGATACCCTAACCCTAAACCTGAATCGAGCTTTGGGATTTTGATTTCCGAGCAGGTGCTGTACAAATGCTGTGACACTGTGACTGACCTCCGTGGTCTCACTTCCAGATTGCTCGAACGCACAATTAGGGTTTGGGGTCTCGGGTTTAGGACTTATGGAGTAAGCCGAGCTTGAGCTTGGGTATCTCTACTACAAGCGTCCTTGAGGTTCATAGGCAACTATACAGGGATCAAACGGCATTTTTACTAACCACACAGACTGTGGTCCTGCTTAAAATTACCCTAAACATTAAACCCTAAACCTTAAACCGCCAAGCATCCAGCCATGCCAGAGCTGCACTCAGACTTGTTATAGTAGTTTCCATTTTACTTTCCAATATAAGCCCAATATAACCCTAATACACTAAGATATACCACAATGAAAACCCTGAACCCTCACAACCCTGTAAGGATAGACGGCATCGCCCCGACCTACATCCAAGCCAACTTCCCGCTGCTGTGGGCGCTTCACACCGCTGTGGACAGAGATCCCAAGGTGGATCTGACGTCATGCAGGATGAGCTGCTAATTAACTGCGGCAATTTCAGGGTCTTGTATGTATGCCAAGGCATGGGCATGAACAATGCGGGGGAAATAACTGGGCTTGTGATGGTATCTTGTACAGGTTGCAAGTTCTGAGGTTGCTTTTTAAGTCCTTGATTGTCCAGAGAGCGTGGAAGGTTGCTTTCCATGAAATAGGGAAGGAATTTGGTGGACCCCCGACCCTGGAATAGTGGTGTAAAAGGATTATGAGAAGACCCTCATAGGTACTGTAGTCTACACCCCTTAAGGATGGCTATATCGGCTTATTTAGGGGGTTATTCAAAGGGTTATTCAGGGGGATACTTGGAGTTTAGATTATGGCTCGTACAGTTACCATTATCTCCTGGTGAAGCCTGAAGTTGCCCGTGGCTGAGGAGGTACACAAAATAGCGGAGGCCTAACAGTCATAAAAGACAAAGCAATAACACTATTACAAATAATAACGATAATAATGGCAATAGGAACAATAAGAATAGCACTCCGGTTCAAGAGGAGCCTCAAAGGGGCTTGCTTGATGAGTTGTGTTTGGGGTGTAGCTAGCCTCTTGTTTCCTGCAGGTCGCCGAGTGGAAAGCGCGAAATCCCCACCACTACAAGCGTTGACGAGAGGACGCATGAGAGGATGTAGCGTGTCAGAGGTTTGGGCAGCAATTATGGTTGTGTCAGTTCGTGGCTGCTGCTTCAGGCAGGTTCTTCTTGCTGTATGCCGGCTGTTACAAGGCGCTAGCAAGGTCAGGGTCGTAGTCCTAGCTGCTTTTCACAAGTGATGTTTTAGTATACTCATCCCTGTACAACCCGAATCAAGCCCTAAACCTGGTTCCTGCACTGCCAGGAGCTGAAACCCTCAGGAGTGTGAAGCGCTCTCACCGTTAGATGAGCACTGTGTAGCCTTAAGCACTTCAGGGCTTACAGTCTGGGATATGGGGGCTTAAGCCTTAAGTTTACAGACATGATGGCTATCGCCAGGAAGTGCTGTTGACGCAGTACTCGCTCTCACACTGTTTCAGTGATAATTTCAATATGCTCGAAGTCTGTTTTCGGTGGAAGCCACCAATTTTCGCAAATTCTCGCACGCCATCTGAAGCTATTTGGATGCTGCTTGTGCATAAATGCCGCACTCGCGGCCAGGAGAAGTTGGCCAAGCACATTTCCAGCTGATGGAGATGGCAAAAGAGATAGAGCTTTGATCATATTTTGTTGCCGCATGGCTAATATCTCCAATGAGGAGACTTGTTGTCCTGAAGCCAAATTCACTTCCGAAATATACGTCTCCTTCTTCGATTCCGGAGAATTTTCAACAATCTATTCTATAAAAAGCTACGTCCAAACGGCTGTTATCACGTGCACCCAACTTCCTGGCAACCTGTGCTCCAAAACGTTTCGGAAATTTTGGAAGCTGGGCGGCCTTGCTGGAAAATGGACACGTAGGAAGAGGCTGGCCCCTCTTTCCGAGGCCTGAGAGCCTGCTTTCTTCGTCTCCAAACTTTCCGGGAAATTATGGAAATTAATGTCTTCAATTTCCAGAATTGGGCATAGAACACTTTGGAAACGGATTTTCCCCATACGTTCCCATAAGCCACAGCGCACAACCCTAAATTTTGGGGAAATTTGGGGTCCTAGACACTCTCTTTCTAGGGTTCGTATTTCCGATGCGTTCTCATAAGCAACCCAGAACTGGCATTTTTCTCCATATTTCCCAAGAATTTTATCTGGAAATAAGATCTATTTATCTTTCTAATTATTGGCTTGCCTATCGATAACTGATTATCTCTCTAATCTCTGGCTATCATATCTCGTCCGTCTATCATTCTACGT